GCTTCACCTGATAAACTTATTGTGGATAAAACTTGTCCGATCCATTGAGGATTGTTAACCACCAAACCTCCATGAAACTTACCATGTTGAATAATAAGTTCTTCAACTTCCTTTGTACTCTTTGACAAATATTCTGTGTGAGATGCACGTGTAAGAGCACTACTTTCACCGATTCTGTCATCAAGGTCTTGCACTTCGCCATTGACTCTTTCAACATTTTCCAACCATATCTGGACTTCCTCCTTGAGTTTCTTCCTTGGCTGCAGCTCTGTTCTCATTATATATTCCGTATCTTTCTTCGTTCCATTCAATTCTTTTAATTTCCTTTTAAGGTCCTTCATATGCTGATCAAAGCTCATGTGATCGTCCAAGTGCTTATTAATCTTATTCAGAACAAAGTCCATGGCTGCAAGTCACAAGCAATATGTTAGAAACTGGGCAACACAGTAATGAACATGGAGTAGAAAGCGATATATGCCATGGACTTGCAGTTTATGAAAAAAATCAAGTTAATGATTATGGAGTAAAAAGAATGAAAAAGAATCATGTTCCTTGCAGTTAATGAGGTTCGAAAGAACAATAAAAATGTAAAATTCAATACATACCTCTTCTGAAAATTTTGTTCGGAGATGATAACCGGAGAGAACTAGCAAAAAAACGTTCCTGATAATATGAGAAACGGTGATATAAAGAGCCACTCCAAAGGGTTCTCTATGCATGTGCTAGAATTACCTACACTTAAGCAATTTTCACCAACAACAAACAAGGAAATCACACACCCTTGGCGGAACAAATCACTGTTACACGCACACAGAACAACAGGTAATTACAAATTTCCAAGTTTATTGGTCATTATTGTCTTTTTCTTCTTTATAGGCTACTGATATTGTTAGGCCTGTAAATGAACTGAATGTTCAGCGAACCGTTCATGAACCATGCGGCGGGAAGTTCGTTTATGTGCGTTTATTTATTAATGAACGAACATGAACAAGATTTTGTGTCCGTTTAATTAAATGAACGAACATGAACATAGGTCTCGTTCGTTCATTTACGTTCGTGAACGTTCGTTATGTTCGTTCGGTTATGTTCGTTTATGTTCGTTCATTTATGTTTAATTCAATCTTCTTAAATCAATTTTGGTGACCAATTTGTAAGTATCTTAAAAATATTAATTAATCTGATATTCTGATGACCAACTCTATAATTAACCCAATTTTATTTGGAGATTAAATCCAATATGTTAACCTGTGAGGCACCTCGCACCTATATTCATTTTCCTCCTTTTTTTCCCCAAACCCTAGTATTCACTGGAGAGTGGAGACGATCGGTGAAAGCTTCAAAACAAGTTATATTATAGTGCAATCTAAAGTTTTACAGGTATGTTTTCCTCTATTTCTCTGTTTTATTTGGCTTAATAGTTGATATGTAAAGTTATTGTGGGTATCTTCACATCTAAAACTCAAGAAAACATCATACTTCTTTCTAGAAATAGATGGGAAGATAAAGGTAACAATCGGAAGTATATGAGCATCAGTAAAGAGAAAAATATATAGAATTTGCCAAAAAAAACAAAACAAAACAAAGGTTTCTATGCAATTTCTGAAAAAGAGTGTAATAGCGGAAGTAATGAGTTTTCAAGGAAGAACCCATTAATAAGTAGAAAATACACTTTGACAATGAACTTTTGTTTTCATAGTTCTTGTGTGACCTTTAGTTGTGGAGTAGACTTTAGGTACGATAAAATTTTGAATGGTGGTTTAGCAATAATATCAGTTAGATATGTAGCATCGGAGGGATTTCGGATCTATGTTATTGCCTTGTAGTCCAATTTGTACCGTTCGAAATCTTCATGCTGTTAAATTTTCTACTCTGCTAATGGAAAGGACTATTATTAACAAATCTCACTAAAGTCTGACATTGATGTCACAAAACTTTTAGCCGGCGAATTTATTAGAATAACGTAGTGAAAACGATTGTTCATATGTAATCGTGGACCACTAAAATAAATGTTATAGCGTTAAATTAAAGTCATGTGAATCATTTAATATCTTTAAAAGATCAATCGAAATATATGATATCTTCAAACATTTCATCGATGCTAATCAACTCTTACGCTATTTATCATTGTAGATTTGGTTAATTTGCATTGTCGACTATATTTCATGAAAGAACAATGGAAGGTAGGGTCTCCAACGTTCGTGTTCATTTATGTTCGTGTTCATTTATGTTCGTGTTCGTTTATGTTCGTGTTAGTTTATGTTCGTTTATTTATTAAATGAACGAACATGAACAAACTATATTCCTTAAAGAACGAACATGAACAAAAAAAATTTGTTCGTTTATGTTTGTTTATTTATTAAATGAACGAACATGAACAGACCTTCATTCGTGTGCGTTCGGTTCGTTTACAGGCCTAGATATTATTATTTGTTATTTGGGTTTATTGTCTTTTTCTTCTTTACACCGCTCACCAAAACTTAAGCAAGTTTCACCTACTACACAAAGGAAATGTTGACTCCAGTCTCAGTGACCTACTACACAAACGAACTGATTTTCAATAAAGCTGGTTAGGTGCAACGACTTTAAGAAAGTCAAATTAAAGTTTGATTTGAATCATATTTAATACTATCTTGGTAGATACATAATGTGAAAATATAGAAATATAAGCCATCCAAGTCAATTCAAAATTGACAATAACAACATGGAGTGTCAGATTGGTTTACAAAAGAACTAATGGCATATAAGCAGGGACGGAATGAGCCTTCAGGAATACTCTCTGTACCACAATCAGACAACAACAATGTGGCGAGCCTGTGACACTTCGATAAAGAATTAGAAAGACTCTTGTGATAGAATTTCTAGAAAGATCAAGAATTTTAAGTGTGTCCATATGCTTGAAGAAACCTTCAGGAATGCTCCCTATATCACAGTCAGACAACAACAATGTTGTGAGCCTGGGACACTTTGGGGGTGACGTTTCCAAGGGTATGTACAACAACGAATTACTCATCAATGAAACTTTCTCTAGATCTTTGCTCCATTCTTGCTCATCTGGTGACTCTATTAACATCGTACCGGCTTTTACCAAGAATCGAGATTCTTCAATATGTAATGCCATGTCCCTTAGAAGATCATGCATCTTCACAGTTCTTGTATTTTCGAAATGAGTAAAATTCTAACAAACAATTGCCGATGAGTCTATTCATTATTGCACGACGCCTATCGAACTCTGTTTGCTTACTATCCATTTCTTCTACAAGCCCTTATGAAATCCAAAGTTGAATAAGACGCCCCTCTTCGATTTCCTGATCTTCTGGATATAATGCACAACTGAGGAAATCCTTTAAACGATGGAATTGTAATTGTTGGAACACATTTTTGGCGTTGACTAAATTCTTTTAATGCATTCCTCCATTCGGAAATGTCATCAATTCCCTTCATGCAAGAAGCTGTAGTGATTAGTCCTAAGGGCAAACCTGCACAACGCCTAGCAATTGATCTTGCAATTGGTTCCACTCCTCGAATACTGAGAATATCACGATCCACCTTCTCTAAGAACAACTTCCATGCCTCTTCTTCCATCAAAGGCTTTACTTTAATTACTCTACAACCCATTTGTCGACACACATCAGATGATCGAGTTGTCAACACCAACTTACTCCCCGCAGACGGTTCAGGGATTCCTACTTTATCAAGGGAAACTTTCTCCCACAGGTCATCCAAGATCATCACAAACTTCCTCTTTCGAGTCAATGTTTCAAAGAGAATCCCTGCCCTTGTAGTTTCATCTTCGTAACCGGAAAATTCGACTCCGATTTTACTAGCAATGTCTTTCTGCAGTTTAGCAATACTCGTCTCTTTGGATACAGTGATCCTAATCACAATATCGAATTTCCCAGTCTCTTTTAAGAGTTGCTTGTTTATAACCTTCATGATGCTTATTTTTCCCACGCCACCCATCCCCCAAAGTCCAAGCTTTGGAACCTCATCATCCATCAAGCACTGCCAAATCTCTTCAGCACAGGCCTTTACAGCTTCACCTGATAAACTTGTTGTCGACAAAACTTGTCCAATCCATTTAGGATTGTCAACCACCAAACCTCCATGAAATTTACCATGTTGAATAATAAGTTCATAGACTTCCTTTATACTCTTTAACACATCTTCTCCGCGAAATCCATGTTTATTCTTTCAACATTTTCCAACCATATCTGGATTTCCGCCTTCAGTTTCTTTCTTGGCTGAAGCTCTGTGCTCATTATAGATTCTGCATCTTCCTTCAAACCATTCAATTCCTTTAATTTCCTTTTAAGCTCATTCCGATACTGATCAAAACTCATGTGACAGTCCAACTGTTTGTCTATCTTATTCAGAAGAAAGTCCATGGCTGCAAGTCACGAGCAAAATGTTAGAAACTAAATAATAACGCATCATGAGGTGAATGTATCTAAACATGTTTTAAAAAATTCCATTTTCTCATAAAATTTTATTTTTTATTTTTGTTTAGTTTTGGTGTTTCCTTGAATTTGAGTTTTAATCTCATACTTTTTTATATTTTTAGAATTCGTGTGTCAAGGCAGAGATTATTAATGTTTGACGCAAACTCAATTTGACTCATGAATATATATAAAATCAAGAGGAAATTATTTTATTTTTTATATTAATGAATTTTTTCCGTAATTGTTTTTCAAAAGAGTTTTACACTTAAAAATATTAATATCTATTTTATTACGTGATCATTTTATTTATTGTTATTTTCTAATAAAAACTCCGAATTAAAAATAACTTCATCACTATAAAATAATACTCTGACTTCATTTTCATTAATACATGAAATTGAAATAATCATTATAAATATTGTGCATATATTTTTCAACATACATGTAAGCTAATTTTAAAATTGGTGAGTTGAAGATATAAAAATATGTGAAAATAGTTTGTTAATGGTTGAAGATAAGCCAAATTCTTTACTTCCTCAGCCTTGAACAATCGCTTCTTTCCAGTTTCATCTTCGGGTATTTTCTATTGAAGCTCTTCTATGATCTTGTTTTCGACTATTGGATGACGGGAAACCAGCCAAATGAACCAAGTAAGAGCAGAGCTTGTGGTGTCCCTCCCTGCAAGCATCATACTCAAAATAGTCTCTCAAGAATTTATCGTCACATTCTAAACCTATTGACTTCTCTTCGGTTATGTACGGTGTTAAGAGATCCACGCCTTCTTCGACGATTTCCGATGTCGAATTCGACCCTCGGTTCAAATCTTTCCTCTTCTGCCATATATACTCGGCTATAATATCATCAAGAACTTGCCCCGCCTTTCCATATTTCCGTTCTTGTCCCGTGTTCAGCCACCTCTGCAACTTGATAAACCATGGTGGCCTGACATGCCGATAAAATATCGCTTCCTCGGCATCATCCAGGGCCTTGGAGAAAAGAACATCCGGAAATTCGACCGAAAGGGATCTAGGGTCATGGCCAGTAACCAAGATGCATGTAGCATCGAACGTGAACCTTCGGAATATATCTTCTAAGTCTGCCACTAGGCATCGTTTGGCAAAATGGTTCATAACAGGAACGAGCCCGTGTGCCACCTTATAATGGGAAGCCCTCGACAAAAAACTATGAAACCGGTGAGTTCTCACGAATCCTTGAGCAACCATCCTCTGTGAAGACACCAAATTTTATCCTTTAACATTATATAATATATTTACATTATAATTTATATATATATATATATATATATATATATATATATATATTTTACATATGGTGCATACGTATTTACACACAAATCTGTTACATTTGCAGGCCTGTTACACGAGGCCCAGCTGTACACAACCCAAACGTGGGAGTCCAAACGTGTGGGGTTTTCAGAAACCCTAAACATATGCTCTCAAACCCTAGCCTCGTCAGCGCCGCTTTAGCTACCTCTTCACGCGGCCAACACCGAGTTTCACGGCAAGACCCCCATCACCGCACGTCTCGCCTTCAACGACCGGGACTCTCGGCCACGCAAAGAAATAAGCAACAACAACCAACATCAGTGTTTTACTTTAATTTAAACTCTAAAAATAGCCTTTTTTTTTGGGCTATAAATATTATGTAAAGCACACAAGTTTAGACACAGAGAGATTACTGCGAATACACACAGAAAGTCACCATAGCAAGCACAAAGAAAGTCAGAACACTTGTACAACATTTCGAAACAAGAAATAAAAGCGAGGTATATTAGTTGTTTACCTTTTCGTTCGCTTGATCCTTTGCACGTCAAATTTATCGTCCATCGTGTTGTTTTGAGTTGAAAGTAAAAAATCTTTTGGCCGATGAAAGGTGTTTTTCGTTCGAGATCGTTTGTATAGATCTACGAAAACCCGAGGCCTTTTTTTTGAAAAACCAAACTTGATTTTCAAAACGAGGAGAAGAAAAGCATTCGGAAAAGTAAAAAATCTTTTGATTTTGCCGCCGATGAACGGCGGCCGTCGCCGTTCAACGGCGGCGGCGAGGCGGTGTAGGGCGGTCGATTTCTGGATTCTTGAAGAATCCGGCCGTGTTCTTATTTTTTGAAGAACACTTGAGAGTGTTTTTCAGAGAGGGGGAGGAGAGCTTTGATTTGTGAGGAGAGAAATGAAACTAAAAAAATGTTTGAGTCATATATTAAACCCGTTCCAGCTTATGCCCAACCCGATGAACCTCGGACCCGCGTGTTTTTGCAAGAAGCGAGAGATTTGCGTTTTGGTTCTCCAGTTTCAAAAACATTTAATTTGGTCCTCTGAATCGATTATTGAACCTGAAATCCTTGTAAATTGACCCTTGAGTTTATTTTGTTTTCAATTTATCCCTACTATTATATACTATATTTCATTATTATTATATTTTACTCCCTTATTTATATATATGCGTTTTGGTTCTCCAGTTTCAAAAACGTTTAATTTGGTCCTCTGAATCGATTATTGAACCTGAAATCCTTGTAAATTGACCCTTGAGTTTATTTCGTTTTCAATTTAATCCCTACTATTATTATATACTATATTTTCATTATTATTATATTTTATTCCCTTATTTATATATATGCGTTTTGGTTCTCCAGTTTCAAAAACGTTTAATTTGGTCCTCTGAATCGATTATTGAACCTGAAATCCTTGTAAATTGACCCTTGAGTTTATTTCGTTTTCAATTTAATCCCTACTATTATTATATACTATATTTTCATTATTATTATATTTTACTCCCTTATTTATATATATATATCTTATGTATATTTTTATTTTATTTTATTATATTTATATATATATATATACCCATATATATATATATATATATACATAACCATAATTATTTTTATTATTTTAAGAATTATTGATGGCGTATATAAATGTATATTTTTTTTCCTTTATTATTATATGTATATTCTTTATTTTTTTCATTTACTTTATTTATTTTTATTCTGTTGCGTTTCCTTTTTATTTAATACATGTTTTATTTGTATTCCTTTGTTTTTATATAGTTTTCATTTCTTTGTTTGTATGTTTTTTTGCTCTTCATATATGTATATATACATTTATTTAGTATTTTTTTCTTTCCTTTATCTATCTTATTTATCATTAGTTTATTTGTATTGTCTCCTCTTATTTGTATCATTGGTTTGTGGTTGTTATATCTTATTTATTTTCACCCCTCCAAACGTAACGTTTTTTTCTTAATGGTCTTCATTCAATTAATCAAGGTAGTAATTTTGGATCGTTATTTTACCTTTTAATTTAGATTTATAACTTTCTTAATTAAAGACAACTGGAAATTATGTAGTACCGAAAGGGCAGTTCAAGGGTGCTAACCCTTCCTTGACTGTAACCGACTCCCGAATCCGACACATCTTTGGTAAGACGCAGATCAGGTAAGAAATAAGGTATCCGATCTACCTATTTAATTTTAAATAAATGATCGGTGGCGACTCCAATCCACATTTTTCAAGTCGAAGCCCAATCCCGGGCCCAACCGAAAGACGGTTATGACAGCTTGGCGACTCCGCTGGGGACACAGGTAAGTGAGTCAGGCTAAGGTAATTTCCAGTTGTCTTTTTAATGAAAAGGGTAAGTTTGAACTTTAAGGTAACATTTCGATCCTTATTACTTACTTTTGGTTATATTTTTTTTTTCGAGTAAATAGTTGGACTAATCGTTTTCTCATGATTTCAGACTTCAAAGTTTTTTTTCATCTAAGGCTCTATACCCGAGCTCCGAACCCGTTTTAAGTGGGGGTGAAAGCGACGCCTTCGTGTGAATTTATTCACCGTATGGGCCTAGCAAGTAGCCTTCGGGATTCATATACCTTATGCCTTCGTGTGAATTTATTCTCCGTATGGGCATAAGGGAATGTGTCCTCTCGAGTTTAACTTAGTCCACACAAGCCTGTGATGGGTTTCGGACTAAGGGTCTGGTCGGTCCAAGGGGGCGCCAGCAAGGAGAACTCGAGTACCATTTTTAGAACCCAAACCGGGAGGCTTTGAATAAATAGAGCCTACCCCAAAACCACATTCCAAAACCTAGGACATTTCTTTCCTAACCTTTTTATTTTTTATGTTTTTTCATTTACCATTTATTTTTATTTATTTTTATCTATTTCTATTTTACTAACCTTTTGCCTTGTGTTTGTTTTTAGCGTTTGCATCATAACAAAAGGCCATTGATCCCTAAAAAGGTGTTTATTAAAACTCAAATAATCTGAATTTATGGACAAAGGTGTCGTAATACAAGAGATTGAAAACGCTGAGGCACGACTATGGTCCGAGAAGACTCAAAGTGAAAGGGAGACAGTCTTCAAGGAAGCTATGTGTCAGAGTTGGTTCGCTACACCCCTATCAGCCTAAAACAAAACAATGTACAAGAGCTTCGAGATATCTGGGATAGTTGGAAGAATGATCGGAGACAGAAGTTCAGCCAACGGTACAGTGACATTGCACTCTTGCTTCATGTTAAAACTGATGAGCCCTTAATCAGAGCCATGGTCCAATCTGGAACCCGGGATATAGTTGCTTCACTTTTAACCAAGAGGACATGGTGCCTACCATCGAAGAATACACTACACTGCTGCATTGTGAAAGCATCAAGCTTGAGCGAGCCTACATTAAACACATCAAAAGCCAGCCTTCAAGAAGCACTGGCCAAAGTTGCAGGAGTAGATGAGAAATGGGTAATCGATCAGACTCAGCGTAGAGGCAGTGGAGAAGGAATTGAATGGATCCATATAAAGCAACTAATGAAAAACCACCCTGATGAGTGGAAGACTATAGACTTTTGCAACTGGGTCTGTACGGTTTGATTATCTTTCCGAAAGCTTTGGGGTGCATTGACGCTGCCGTGGTGGAACTATTTGAGCAACTTTCTAAACGAGTTAACCCAGCACCAGCCATCTGGCCGAGACCTTCGATCGCTCAACCATGCCGAAGAACTGGGGGGAGGAGATTAGGGTGTATTCAGCTCCTTCAGGTCTGGATTCACAGCCACTTCTGGAAGACTAACGGGGTTGCTACGCCGTTTCAGCACCACCTATTCACCTCTAGGTGAATTTATTACCTTGAAATGGCATGAAGGCGCTTCGAAAGAAAAATGGATGAAGGTCTTTACGCATCTTCAAGACCGAGATATCGTCTGGAGAGCCCCTTGGTTATTCCTCAGTGATGTTCTTTTTCGATGTGGTGACTCCGACACTGTGACCTTACTTTGACTTTGGGGAGCAGTCGGGTATGCTCCGCTATTAGCACTTAGACAATATGGAGCACGTCAGTTTGTCCCAGCAACATGCGGGTTAGTAGGTCAGAGTTTGAGTCACGGCGATAGCTATAAGAAGATGCTCAAATAAGCAGCCGATTCGTGGAGGAAAGTATTCCGGATGGATGTTGTAGCTGCCAGAAGCATGCTCACTCCGGATTATGGGAGTGGCGAAGATTGAGAAAGAATGACAATATCCCTGTGCCAGACTGTGATGACACCCGGACCATGGAAGAACATCTCAGGCATGTCCCTTCTGAACTCGAGATAGCCAAGACCGAGTTTGAAGCCGTGAATAATGAGCTGAAGAAAAGAATAAAGGAACTTGAAGCAGAAAAACTGGAAAAAGAACAAAAAAGAGTCCGTTTTGAGCTCGAGACTTGAGAAAAGGGTATCAAGAAGGTCAAGGATAATTCCAAGTTGAAGGTAACCTGAATACTGGAAAGACGAAGCTCATAGCTGAAAAGGAAGTTTGAGGGGCCTGATGAGAAAGCTTGGAAGGAAAAGATGAAGACTGCCAAAGACGTTGGCAGATAGTCATATCAGAACCAGCGCTTGAGAGTTCGGGTAGCTGACTTAGAAAAACAACATGAGAAAGAAGGCAAGACAATAGCTGAGTTAGAAGCTATTGTAGATGGGTTCAAGAGGAAGCAAACGAGCTTCGATAGTGCCTTTCGACGGAGGATTACAATGGCGTTTCCGTTGGGAACAAGCACAACGAAGGGTGAGGGCCCGAGACGGCAACCATACGAGATTTCCTGGATCAAGTGCAAAAAGCAGCCCGTCATCTTCACGGTCTAGCAAGGAAGCTGGTGTGGTTCGACAAGGCATTCAACCAGTGACAGATGAAGGCAGAAGACTTGTTAACATACTGGAAGCTGTTCGGGGTCTAGAGGATTTAGTCCGAATGTACCTTTAATCTGTTTTTATGTCTCTAAAAAGATAAAACATTTTTGTCTGAATAAGGATTATTTAAATAATGAACCTTTTCTGGATCAATGCCTCCAATTGCATCATCATGCATTACATTTCTTGCATTTTATATTTCATGTCTGTTTATTTTATATTTTTTCCATGTTTTACATTCGTATTAACTAACAGAACATGTCTCAGACACCGAGCTTACCACCACAAGCATCAGATACACATCACCCGCACAATACTCGAGCAAAAAAGAGACAAATGGAAGCCAGAATGGAGAAGATCGAAGAGCACATGGCAAGTCAAAAGGAACTAGAAGATAAGATGGCTCAGAACAGTGAAAGTACTCTTGAGTC